GTAATCTTGTAGAAAGTTGACTTCTGAGTGTCTTTTCAACATGGGACTGGTATGCCCGAGTCACGAGGTTACTCTGAGCCTTCATACTTCTGTGTTTTTAACAGCCGTTCTTTGCCCTTCCAAAAAGTCTTTGAAAGCTAAATTTCAGCTAGAAGAAACAGTAGGAAAAAACCCTAAACCCTGCTTAGCCCCAAAGAAAGCATTTTGTACATTAGAAAAAAAGAAAGTTCCTCAGATTTCAGAAATTTAATGAAGGAAAAAACTAGCTGGCAAGTATAGCATGAAACAATGGATCCATGAAACCTGATGGCACCATACATAGGTACGGCAGCTGTTTCTTGCCTCCTTGCAGCATTTACTTCATGGAATTGAAATGGACTTTAGTCCATGATTGTGATTCAGTGTGTGTTCAAAACCCTTGCTCAACTAGAGTCTCTTGACTGCTCACCTGTGCTGGTGTGTCTGTGTTCATGATGGGTTTGCTTTGGCTGACTTCAGGAAAAAGAGGAAACGATTTCTTTCTTCTTACTAGTTTGCAATGCTTAATTGTTTGAACTGCTAGCAAAATACTCTAACACTAGTGATCTACCAAAGACTATGATTTTACAAGTTGGGAGACATTTTTAAAAGCTCTTCATATAATTCATTGCTATGATTTTTCTTTTTCTGACATGATTTTTCTTCTTCTTTTTTTTTTTTTTTTTGCAATGCAGTTACAAAACACACGGATTGTAGGAACTGATTTTGATTCTGAGCAGAACATTCATGCTGAACTGTTTGTCAAATGAAACAGAGGATAAGGGCTGACTTTTTTAGCCAGCTACATTGGCTGTAATACTTGAACTTGGCTTTCCTCTCACCTTACACTGCTGTAATTTGAGTAATTCCACTGAAATCAATCCATTGATAACAAATGAAAACAACAAGAAATGAGGGATGGTTTGGGTGAATAGCATGTACATATCAGGTCCCTGCAAATTTGCTCAATTAATGTTGTATGGTCTTAATAGTTGCCTTGCTAACCTGTCTGAACACCAAACCTCCAAAATCTAGTGATTGGGGGAGAAGCTGCGCTGCATCTAACACAACATAAAATATAAAAACTGAGGAAGGCATTGCCTCTCTAGATTAGGTTTACAACAAAAGACGTGTCATGCCAAAAACACTTCTGTCAGTGGTTTGTGTCCAACATGTTGGGTTTTTCCTGTGAAAGCTAATGAAAGGACTACATACATGAGAGAGCTTGAAGGTCTGGTTCCAGTTAGATGAAGCTCTCATTGCTGAATGATGGCGCTTTCAAAACTACTTTGAAGTTGTTCTCATTCCATTCCTCTGGAAGCTGTAGCGAGTTTTTATTTTAGGGGAAGAGTCTTAACATGAGCATTCTTGAAATGCTCACTCAGTAAATAATGGGCTTGATATAAAGGTTGGACTTGGAAAAGAAAACATAGATGAATTTCCAAGATTTTTATTTTTTCTTTCAGTAAATTCTTTTTATTATAAACTATTTATAGTGTCATGTATTACATTAATTTTTTCCTGTATCTTCTGTTAGGAAATCCAAGCTTTTAAAAAACCCAGCTTTAAAATGTTTAGTTGTTCATCACTGTATTCCTTCACAGTGATCTGTTGCCTGGAAGAGGATTCTAATAGCTCTTGAGGTGGAATTGAATAGGATATTATTTTAAAACTGGATATATCCTATATTCTTACCAGTACCCTGTATTTATAATGCTGGGAGGGAAGTCTGAGGAGTTTTTATTATTTGTATACATCTTTAAATCTCTTAACAAAATTTCTCAACTTTTTTATCCAGCAAGGAAAATTAAAGAATTAAAAGTCACAAAAGCATATCTGTAGAATACCCTTTAAAATTACTTTATTCAGTCATTTTATAAGTGTGTGAAAAGAGGAGACAACTTTATATTTCACCCTGTGAACCCTGTCATTTCTTTCGGAGTAAACAATCTTTATTTGATAGAACCAGGTACAATATGTACGGAGAATGACACAGAACTTGGAGGTTACAGATGAGATCATTATTTTTTCTGCTGCCCAAGATATAGGGTCAAGAAAGAGTATATTTCTTTATAAGATTAGACCTAATCTTTTAAACCCCACCTTTCATTTCAAGCTTTTTCTCTTCATTTTCTAGAAAGGTGATGCTATTCAGTTCAGAGAAACTGGCGAAGAAAAAAATGTGGCAAATACTGCTTTAATCCTTCAGTAAAAATCTAGTCAACCAGAGAAAACCAGTAACATGCCCTATTTGTGCTAAATACACTATTCCAAGGTGAAGTCTGCTGTGCAGTGTGCAACATAAAAGATGACAAAAGCATCTAGCTGATAGTTTTAAGTCAACGATAGTTACCACGTGCATAGTAAGTGAGGGACAAGACACAAACCAGTTTGGTATCTGCATATAGCATTTTCAGTTGCTTTCACAAGAATCTATAGAACATTGACCCTTCACCAAGCAGTCGGTAACCTGTATTACATACATCTTTTTGTATTGCTATGGTTTGTAGCTCTTTAGGCTTCATCAGTGCTTCCTCAACAGTCCAAAAATTAAATCAATTGTCTTTTTGAGCTTTCTGCCCCATGTTTTTAATTTTTACCTAAGATCGCTCTTGGCACTTGTGGAAAGGAATTATCATGCTGTGTCACGAGTCAAATTCGCTGCAAGTTACACTCCTGCAGAAATCCAGATATCCACCACAATGATGAGGCAGCCATACAATTGAGGCAAAGCATTTTCCAGCACTTTCCAAGTTGGAGAACTTAGGTTCAAAGAACTACCTCTTTTATTTGGAAAGTGATGGGATTTGTGGTGGCCTTTAGCTTCCTGCCAATATGTGTTCTGTGGTCTTGGGCAAAATTCCGCCTGAGAGCTTTATGTCCTCGTTGGGTGAGTTTTGCAAGTGTGGTAGTATGTTCCGTTGTGATAAGAACAGCATTATCAAATGCGGTCATCAGCCTGTGCTTCCAGAATAGGAATCCTGCTCCAGCTCATGGTATTGGTGATGATTTCACAGAAGCCATTTCTGAGAAGAAGTGACTGTCTCATAACTTAATTAAAAAGAAAAATTTTCAATTCAATATGGAAGCTTCTCTTATTTAGTGATAGCAAAATGTGACTCAGGTTTTGAGGGAAAAGTTTTTGCAAGATCTTTATTAGCAGATTCAAAAAATTAATCGTGTTTAATTTAAGTGTCAAAACTAAAAAAAAATGCACATTTTCAAGCAATCATGTTTCCTAGTCTTTCCTATTTGTAGATTTACTACTATATGACTGCATATATTTCTGTTTGTTTATTAATATAAAAATATATTAAGGCCTTGATCTGAAATCAGTGAAACTTTTTCCATTGATTTTATTAAGTTTTCAGTGAGAACTAAAGTAATTTTTAAAGTTAAGTGATTATTGTTTCTGCTTCTCCTGTCACCTGGGCCTGTTAAAATCTAGAGTGGTGCCTGTCAGTAGGACTTCTTTTGACCAGGTTAAATGGCTGTTTTCAGTAGATTAGAAATGATTATACTTCTTTGTGCAGGTAAATTGGAAATAGTTTGATGGTAGCAAAGTTTCTCTTACATCAATCTGCAGAGAAGACTCAGGTAAATCAGGCAGATTGACAATAATAAATAGGGACACAGTGATTAATACAGTGTTCTCATTTAAGAGTAAATCTTGCTTTCAGAAGCGTGTATTACTTATAACTTAAATACAACTGCAAATGCATTTGGATAACAGTAATTATGTGTCTTGATGAAGCTTATATTTTAAATAGCAAGCAGCAGTAGTGTTCCCATCAATACTACTGTTAAACTGCAGTAGGTCCTCATTGTGCCTCCTGACTTACTAATATTGCCTGCAAGCTTTGTGCCAGTTGACCTTTAGAAGTTTCCAAAAGTTACAGTTTGCAATTCAGCAAGTTTGGCAGAGGAACATACATGATTATTCATATCATTGTTTAAACGGTAACCAGATGTGTCTTGTTTTTCTTTTTTCTTTCCCATTGTTTTTTAAAAAGTGATGTTAATCCAAGATGTTACTCCATTTACAGGGTTTTTCCACAGCACCAAATTCTCCTTCGGTGAATTCTCGTTCCAGTAGCCTGGGCCCATCACTGTCCCTTGGTAACATCTCAGGAATGACAGCAAACCCAGAAGTGAAAAAGCGCAGAGCACCTCCTCCACCAGTTGTGACACCTGCGTTACAGAACTTGACAATGAGTGGACAAGAAAAGACAGGAGCACAGGTAACAGTGACACTGCAGGATGGGCTTCTTTCCTTGATGTGCTGGCTACCACCAGTTCATTCATAAGAGCTGAAGTCATTCACAGATATTTTGGATAGCCATTAACTACAGCTCACCAAAACTCTAGATCTTAACAAAATAAAATTATCAAGTCTTGGAGTTTTATACGTATTTACAGAGCTTTCTTGAGACTGCCCAAGCTTTCTCCCACGTCAAGAATCTTTCTACATTAGAAAAGTTTTGTGAGGCATTATGCTAAAAGAAGGATGGCGACGAAAAAGCCAGCCAGAGAAGCTGGAAATTGTATAGGGTGACTAGGTATCCTTATTGACCAGGGCAGTTCTAGAAAATGGGTGACAGTTCCAATGACTGATGAAAATCATCAATGTGCTGTTTTGCTTTGATATTTGTCAGGCTGTTGCCTATTTTCAGTGCTGCCGTGGGATACCAGAAGTTCTGCTCTGCTTTCTGAGTTGTACCATGTGACCTTTTAAAGCAGTGCTCTGTTTTTGCTTTTAAAAAAGGTCAGTGTTCCGCAATACAGTTATCGAGAATTAAACAGAAATGGGGGAAACCTTTCTGAGGACCTAACCCTTTGAAAAGAATAGAGTTAAGGGAAAAGGAAATTGTTCTTGTTTTTATAGTGACATTCAGGTATGTATGTTACTAAACCTGTGCAAGCACATTGAGACTTCTGGTTCCACCATCAACAACAAGTATTACATTCTAAATATAAACTGTAAAAGTCAGTGTGTAAAGCTGTATATGGATGCCAAATAAGAATGCAAGGAACCAATACCTTAAAGGTTGTGTAATGTGGACTGACTGTCTGCTTAGGGCTTGTCACCTCTCCAGCAGACTGATCTTTGGAAAGTGAACTGCATTAGTGCAAAATGGAGTCAGGAAGGAACCTTTGAATTCAGTATAGTGGAGGAGTCGTCTAGTGCTCAGTCTCACTCTCTGTCATTTTTTTATTTATCTGCCTTAAGACATACGTTAAGTGCCTTCTCCAGTGAAGCATTGTGTAAGCAAAGTTGATGCACACTCTTGGTAAAGGATTGTGGAATCTTATTTTCCCATTCTTAGAATATCTAAAAGTGTGATTACTGGAACATAGCGGTGCTTCATCTTTCAAAATTGGAATAGATGCCTTTGAAATAGCAGTCATTTGTAGACACAGCTGAAGAGAAAGAACGTTTTCTTGCCACATTTGGTGTACTTTATTTTTTAAAATTTTCTTTTGAAATTCCTACTGCAAATACTTTGATGAGGTTTCTTGTGTCACCCAGAGTTAAACATTTAATGTGTTTAAGATAAACAGATCTTTTCATACAAAAATACCATGGCATTATAACTCTCAAGTTTATACAAGTATGATAATCACAGACTATATTATTCCGCCATTCTCTTAGGCTTATCTCTATGCAGTGTGGCGTGGAGATTTTAAATTGTGTTGCACAAACCCACTGAAAATCTAAACTCTCTTTAAATATGTTAACATTTCTATTTTCAGCATTGTTGCAAATAGATTAAAGTGCTGGCTTTCTGAAGCCATTGGGAGAAAAGTATTTATTTTATTTATCACATATAGCATACAGTACAGTGTCAACTTCAAATTCTCTTAGTCTAAAGGAAAAGCTATTCAGATGAAGGTTGCGTCAGAGGATTTTCCATAACAAAGTTAATTTTGGGCAATAGAAATGTCTTGTGTAGCTGACAAACCCAATGAAGAGCACAGTAGATTATGAGCATAGCTGCTAGAGTCTCTTTGGCTGCATTTGTTGGGTAAAGGACATCTTTCTGAAAATGGTTGCGTAGGTCAAAATATTAAACAGTTATGGCATACTTATGAAGCTCCCAGGCTGAAAGTTGTTCACAGGCTGCCCTGTAGTTAGAACAAGAATGTATGGACTACAGTTGAAATGAAGCCCAAGTTCCATGAAGCAATCAAAAAACCAAGGGAAGAGATTAATTATTCAGTATTATGTGGCAAGGTAGCAACAGGGATATTGTTTGTAAGAAAACCCAAACAGTTCTATTTTATCTATGTGCAGACTATCCAGTTTGCTGTGAAAATAGAGTAAAAAATCTCAGGGTGTAAGCTTATTTCTTTAGTTTATGGGAAAGAATTAGCACTGATCTTTTTTGTCAGGGAAGGACGTCAATTCCTTATTAATGGACTTCCTTCCATAAAAAGATAAGATGTTTGTTTAGAAAACTTTATTTATGTGCAACTGTTACTAACAGGAAGATCCTGCAAAAGGGGAACATGTTTATTTCCAGTGAAGCTAGCACATTAATAGAAAATGAAAAAGGTGGTATTCTGAACTTTCAGGAGGTTTTTTTCTTTTTTAACTATCTGGTTCTATAAAGTTGTGTAGAAAACGGAATACTTTAGCTGTTATGAATACCTGTAGTTTGACTTTCCAACCCAATAAACCTGTTATTTTTAACCCATTGTTAAGCTCCAGGGCTACAGCACAGGTGATTATTTAGGAATATATATCTCATCTCCCTACCTAGTATTTGCAATCAGAAATTTTCATGTGTATGAAGACTGAGGTGTTTTAATTTATGCTTTAGATTCAGATTTCCTCCACTCACTTTTCTGGATAGGTGGATTAGTGCAATGTAATTTTACCATATTGCAGCTTTTGTTTCTGTGGGGCTTACAGTAATTTACCTCCTTGAGGGTAAGGCCCCTGCAGTAACTTTAATTACTTTTTACTGTGGCATCATTAGTTTTTCATGTCTGTTGAAAGGTAGTACTCCCTCTTTAACTGTTTTAAATATCCTCTAGAAAATATTCCTTTCTGTTCAGAGCACAATTGAGCAACGCTTCAGAGCGTGCTCAACATGCACTAAGTAGTTTGCAAAGGAATGCAAAGTCAAAGAAAAGAGTCTACAGATTTCTTCCCTGGAGACTTCCCCCCTGTTTTTTTTACACATCTCCCAAGTGATGCTATTTAGAATAATGAGAAGTCACTTGAAAAAAAAAAAAAAATTCTTCAAAAGACCAGGGTATGGTAACATTTCCAATATGAAGTGCAGAAGGTTGGATGCTTTAGAAGCAAGGAGGTCCTCTCCTTTCTTAAGTTGCAACACAGAGCACACACCATCCAGAGAGTAGAGCAGAACAGTGTAGGGGGTGAGCAAAACTGAACCCCATTTGCAAACAATCTGTGTTCTCTGTCACAGCAGTTTAGATGATGTGCTAGCAGAATTTGGGCCCACCTTACAGTAGGCATAATATAATCTGAGTCCCCACCCCAAAAAGCATGCACCATATAGACAAAATATGTAAGAGAAAACCCGTATGACTATGCTCTTGTAGACAGAGCACACAGAGGAAAGCCACACGTGAAGTCCGACAAAATCAAACACACCTCCTCAGAGGCTTATTCAGTGACTTCTCTTCAAAAGCAAAAGAAGTGTGTTTGGGTCATTTCTTGGAAGAACTGTAGAACTGAGTATTTGATTCTTTTGGAGGTCAAGAGTATTGTGCACTGGCAAATTGGTCTATGGGAATAATTACTTTTTTTTTTCTTTTTAGCATGTCTGGGGAAATACAGAAATTGGAGTGAGGGGAGGATGATAAAGAAGGCCTCAGGGACATTCTGTAAGAGCTTTTTCTATGAAATGGTGTAGTTTATTCAGAATAAAATCATGAGGCTTTTTGGAGACAACATCAGAATTGGAAGAGGGCTCTTCAGTGCCTTCATCTGTGTAATAGCTCTGATGTCAACTCCAGAAATGCAACTTGTAGTCTCTGATAAAGGAGCTGTGTGATATTTCAGCTGCTACAATTTTCAGAAAAGAAGCAATTTAATGTAATATGTAGATGTAATAGGAGGCATCTGGGATTGTTACTAGCCAGTCAAATTCCTGTACTAATAGAAGAATAGGGCGATAAAACAGGTAGAATATTCCAACATTTGTTTCATAGATTTGAATCTTAGTTGTCATATGGCAAGACAATGGGTTTAAATAAAAGTTGTATCGTTGCTTTTAGCGCAGGTGAGGAACTGACCTCATACTTTCAGAAGGTTTCATTATAAACCAGCACAATTTTCAGGTTTATTTCCATGTTTATATAGTTTCCTGGAGGTTACTTTAGACAAAGTAACGTATGTAACATACTGTGGGATTTGCATTGCTTCTTACATTCCTCTGCTGAGGACAGTTGCTGACTCCCCATTCTTGGTCAAGGCCCCATCTTTAGAGTAGACTGCTTGACCCCAGTGTTTTATCAAGACTGATGTTTTCTCACCAAGAATAACTTATTCATTGAAAAGACTTACATGAATAAGAAGGAATATTGAAGCCAAAGAGTCACAGGCTTACCCAGATCATTACTGTCAGGTTTCTTTCTCCCTCCCTTCAGTTTATTTTTGACCAATTTTATGCCTAAATGAGAATTTCAGCTTTAAGAGAATCATTTTAACATGAACAAATATAAATGAGACTTTCATAGAATCAAAGCGTGGTGGGTTGGAAGGGACCTCAAAGATCATCTAGTTCCAAGCCCCTTGCTGTGGGCAGGGACACCCCCCACTAGACCAGGTTGCCCAAAGCCCCATCCAGTCTGGTCTTGAACACTGCCAGGGATCGGGCATCCACAGCTTCTCTGGGCAACCTGTTCCAGTGCCTCACCACCCTCACGAGAGTGGAGTAGAGGGAGAGAATCACCTCCCTCGACCTGCTGGTCATGCTTCTTTAGATGCAGCCCAGGCTGTGGTTGGCTTTCTGGGCTGCAAGTGCGCATTGCTGGGGCACATTGAGTTTTTCATCAACCTCAAGTCCTTCTCCTCAGGGCTGCTCTCAATCCATTCTCCACCCAGCCTGTAGTTGTGCTTGGGATTGCCCCGATTGGAGAAAATAAGGTACTCACACTAAAAATTTGCCAGATTTCTGGTTTATATACAGAAGATATTTTCAGTACTTGCTGTGCATCTTCTTAAATGGAAGGAAATTAAAAGTATGGAAATGCAGAGGAAATA